TCTTTCCCCTGCAACATCCTAGTAAAATTGAAGCTCCAGACCTTGTTTGTAAAACATCTACCAAAAAAACAGGCACACATAAATGCAAGGGACTCCAAAGACGAAGATATATTTTTCGTAGATAGGTCAGGCAGAGATCTAAAACTTACCAGCATAGCATATACATTTTATTGATTGACAAAACTGATATTCCATCTTCGTTTTCATTGTTAAGGCCTTTCTCAGAATAAAGAACAGCATCTTTGCAGTAAATTGTCAAAACACCCTGGATAGACCAAAACAGACGTCTACTGGAGATCAATAATAATACGAATGAATAACAGTGACACCATCATGTTATTGGTTTCACTGCATACTAAAAAGAAACATCACTCATACTGAAGTAAACAATGAAGCATATGGTAGGGTGACCACGGACAACCAATAAGACTGGAACAAGTTATGATTTGATTAGTCACAAGGAATGGCTACCTTATCTAATTCACACATATTCAAATGTATGTTAAAAAACGACAAAATGATGATAATTTCAAATCACTCATTTAGTTTTCCAATAAACTTATTCGTTTACTAATGCATCAACACACATTCCCTAGTACATTAGAGATTCACCTGAAGGAAACCGTGTGAGGTTCACGTGGAATATTAGGCATAACTGAGTCACAAAAGAAACAGGAAAATTACACAGAAGCCCACGAAAGGATTAGCCAGATCCATGACAAGAAGAAGATGGTAAAAGAAGCAAATCCCTCTATTCATGAATTGCCAAACTTGTCAAAGATCAGATCCATGACCAGAAGAAGCAAATTAATGGCATTAAAAACTCTGTTAATCCACTTCAAGATGTATCAATAGTCGAGATATGCTATTGACAAACGGTTCAAAAGCACAAACCTTTTTTCCCCAACAGCTTCCCGGCAATATTGAAGCTTCAAAGGTTGTCTGTACTACATTCACCTAATTGGCACAAGAGAATGCGCAGATTTAAGAAATCATACTTAAAAACGACCCACTCTTATCAATAATCAGGCATATCAAAGCAAAAGCTCTTATTCCATAAAACTCAAATTCAAAAAAGTTGTGACAACTCCCGGTAACAATGAAGCTTCGGTGACCGTCTTCCACATGACAAAGTAAAAATCAGATTTCCTGTTCAAAAGAGTTTCTTCGCTAGAGAAATACACAGCCATAGACCTTGAGGAATGTTCTTTCAGCGGTTTCCTCACTCCCGTCTACATGAAAAAACCATTAGTCATGCGTACTTACATAATATGACACAACTAAAGCAAATAGATTGAAAAAGTTTAATTCGGAACAAATATATAAGAAACTTAACATAACTTCAGCATGTGGTGTGAAATATCGGTGTAGCAAATGCACTCCTAGTAGGTGCCTAGAACTTTTCTGATGGTCATGTACCTAACACGAGACAACACAATGGAACTTCAAATCTGCATGAGTTTTTGCACAACCAAAGAAAGCTTTTTGATACTCTAAATTAGATGCGCTGGCACAGAGAGACTAAAAATTTTGGTTGCAAAAGAGATAGCAAATAGCATTAAAAATTCATACTCATCTAGTTCAAGATGTCTCGGTAGGTGAGTATGTGCTATTCATAACCGTTCCCAGAACATCTCCAAGGAAAACTGGCACATCTAAATGCAAGAGACTCTCCATAGACGAATATATATTTTTCGTAGATAAACAAAAAAGAAATGCAAAGGTCCGGCAGACTGACCATAGGCAACAATCAATCAGACTTAAGCAATTTATGATTTAATTGATTAACAACAGTGGCTACCTTATCTTATTCTCCCAAATTCAGACGTTTGATCAGAAACTACAACATGGTAACAATATCAAAGGAATGAATTGAGAGCAACGGTAATTGACTTCAATTACTATGGCTTTTTCACCCTAGTCCTTCACTTAGTTTTCCAATAAATTGGATATGGTTACTGGTGAATCAACACACATTCTAAAGATTAGAGATATACCTGAAGGACGAGGGCGTGTAAGGCTCTCTTGAAGGACTCACAAACAGAAGCTTCAAAGATTGTGATACGGCGGCAAGCAATGCAATAAGAAAAGTCGCAAAAAGAAGAGAGAGATTCACCTGAAGGAAATCATTCCACGCCTTAGAAAAGAGTGCGATAAGTTTCTGCGCCATAGTGTCGACCGGCAATTCGTAAAAGCCAAAGAACAGAAAACGAATATGTAATTAAACTTGTTATAAATAAATCAAATATTTCGTATACAATATTTCAATTTGTAATTCGTTTTTGGAAATTTTTTAAGATGTATAGGAGCAAGGAAAAAGCAAGAACGGCAGAAACGCTATTACCCCATGGTTTCTTCTAACACAATAATATGACGATGATGTGAGAGTGCAGATGAAAGAAAATTAACATTAAAGAAGATACTTCCATTAAACCACCAAAAGTACCCAAGACCTTTTAGTTACAAAACCCATTGTAAGGGAAAGCAAACAGCATTAAAAATTCTGTTAATGCGCTCCAAAACAAACCAATAATTGGACATATGTTGTTGATAAATGTTTCAACAACACGTACCTTTTTTCCCAGGCAACTTCCTGGTAACGCCGAAGCTTCAAAGGTTGTATCTACAACAACATCCACCTAATTGTGGCCCAAGAGACTCCGTAGATTTTCAAAATCATACTTAAAAAACACCGTTTTATCTATAATCAGACATATCAAAGCAAAAGCTCTTCATAAAACTCAAATTCAGGATTACTTATGTTTTTAAAAAGGCTCCCGGTTAACGTTGAAGCTTCGGTGACCGTCTTCCACATGATAAAAAGAAAAAGTCAGATTACCTTTTCAAAACTGTTGCCTTCTTAGAAAAGTACGCAACCATAGGCTTTGTTGGAAGTTCCCTCGGCGGTTTCCTCCCTCTCATCTATATAAGAAACCATTAGTTATGGGTACTTACATAATTTGACACAACTAAAGCACACCGACTATAATTTTTAAATGAGAACAAATATATATAAATTTATTATTTTAGCATGAGCTGCGGAATATTGGTGTAGCAACTGCAACACTAATGGTTCCAGGAGTTTTTCAGATTGTCATAGACGTGACACTGGACACCATAAAGGAACTTCATATTTGCATGAAGATGTATCAATAGGTGAGTACGTGCTATTGATAACCGGTTCCAAAGCACAAAACTCTTCCCCCTGCCACAAGTAAGTGCAAGAAACTGCAGAGATGAAGATATATTTTACGTAGATAGGTAAGGCAGAAATCTAGAACTTACCAGCATATACATTTTGTTGATAGACAGAACCGATATTCCATCTTCGTCTTTCTTGTTAAGGCCTTACTCGTAATAAAGAACATCATCTTTGCAGTAAATTGTCAAAACACCCTACACAGACCAAAACCAGCATCTACTAGAGATCAATTATAATACGAATGGATAAAAGTGATACTAAAAAGAAACATCATATAGACTGAAGTAAATAATGAAGCATATTCAAATGTATGTTCAAAAACTACGACATCGTAATAATTTCAAATCATTCATTAGTTTTCCAATAAACTGATTCGTTTACTAATGCATTAACACAAATTCCCGAGTATAATAGAGATCCACCTGAAGGAGAACGTGTGAGTTTCACATGGAATATTCGGCGTATCAGAGTCACAAAAGAAACAGGAAAATTACACACAAGGATTGGTAAGATCCATGACCAGAAAAAGATGTAATAATTTCAAATCATTCATTAGTTTTCCAATAAACTGATTCGTTTACTAATGCATTAACACAAATTCCCGAGTATAATAGAGATCCACCTGAAGGAGAACGTGTGAGTTTCACATGGAATATTCGGCGTATCAGAGTCACAAAAGAAACAGGAAAATTACACACAAGGATTGGTAAGATCCATGACCAGAAAAAGATGGTAAAAGAAGCAAATCCCTCTATTCATGTATTGGCAAACCTATCAAAGATCAGATCCATGACCAGAAAAAGATGAAAAATTTTTAAGATCCGTAGGAGCAAGGAAAAATAGAGACGCTATTACCACATGTTTTCTTCTAAAACCACGTTTTGATGATGGTGTGAGAGCGCAGTTGAAAGTAACAAGTATCGTCGACTCATAACTAACATTATAGAAGATACCTCCATTAACTCACCAAATGTACCTAAGGCCTTGTAGGAACAAAAACGATTGATAGAGATATAGTAAATAGCATTAAAAACTCTGTTAATCCACTTCAAGATGTACCAATAGATCGAGGTATGCTATTGACAAACGGTTCAAAGTACAAGCCTTTTTTCCCCTGCAACTTTCTGGCAATGTTGAAGCTTCAAAGGTTTCTGTACTACATCATCCACCTAATTGGCACAAGAAACTGCGCAGATTTACAAAATCATACTTAAAACCATCCATTCTTATCTATAATCAGACATATCAAAGCAAAAGCTCTTACTTCATAAAACTCAAATTCAGCACTGCCTAGTAACATTGAATCTTCGGTGAACGTCTTCCACGTGATAGAAACAAAAAGTCAGATTACCTTTTCAAAACTCCCTAGAAAAGTACGCAGCCATAGGCTTTGTTGGAAGTTCCCTAGGCGGTTTCCTCCTTCTCATCTACGTAAGAAACTATTAGTTATGGGTACTTACGTAATTTGACACAACAAAAGCACACCGATGTGAACTTTAAATGAGAACAAATATATAAAAACTTATTAATTGATCATGAGCTGTGGAGTGTTGGTGTAGCGACTGCAGCCCTAATGGTCCAGGAAGTTTTTCTGATTGTCGTAGACCTGACACGGGACAACATAAAGGAACTTCATATCTGCATGAGTTTTTGCGAGGTCAAGGAAAGCTTTTTGATCCTCTGCATCAGATGCCCTGGGACAGTAGACACTAAAAATATTGGTTGCGATTGCGAAAGAGATAGCAAAGAGCATTTGCTAATTCAGTTCAAGATGTATCAGTAGGTGAGAGTATGTGCTATTGATAGTCCTAGTACGATTGAAGCTCCATAACTTGTTTGTAGAACATCTCCCAGAAAAACTGGCATAAGTAAATGCAAGAGACTCCAAAGACGACGATATATTTTACATAGATAGGTAAGACAGAAATCTAGAACTTACCAGCATATACGTTTTGTTTATAGACAAAACACAATAGGATGAATGAATCACAGTGATGCCATCATGTTACTGGTTTACACCACATACTAAAAAGAAACATTGCTCAGACTGAAGTAAACGATGGAGCATACCCGAGGGTGGCCATAGGCAACAATCAATCAGACTTAAGCAAGTTATGATTCGATTGATTAACAACAGTGACTACCTTTATAAAAAAAAAGCAGTGACTACCTTGTCTTATTCACACAAATTCAGACTTAAGTTATATCTGATTACACAGAATACCCTTAGACAGATATATCACAAGAACATGGTAAAGCGGTGCAAATTCACCTAAAACACGTTTAAAACTCTCCCAGAAAGCTCACGGAAAAACTCATCTAACAATTTCAACAAACAATTCACCTAACAAATTCTCCAGCCCACAATTTAATTTGATAAATATGGAAGGAAAAATTATAAAAACGGCAAACAACTACAATACAGAAAATGGAGCAACCCATGAGTAGTAAACCAACAAATTGGATCATCAACGGGTTGTGAATTCAGTATCCATGAACAAGAATCTACATATACATGGTCGGAAAACAACAATGGTCAACATGGGATAGAGGATCAGTGGAGCGACGAAGACGCAGAGAAGAAACATAATAATGAATCAGGGGGAGAGCAAGAAATCATAACATTGAAGATTCGGTGACCGTCTTCCACATGATAGAAAGAAAAAATCAGATTACCTTTTCAAAAGTGTTACCTCCCTAGAAAAGTACGCAGCCATAAGCTTTGTTGGAAGTTCCCTGGTGGTTCCCCCACTCTCATCTACGTAAGAAAACATTAGTTATGGATACCTACATAATTTGACACAACTAACGCACATCGATTGTAAACTTTAAATGAGAACAAATATATATAAACTTATTATCTGAGCATGAGCTGTGGAGTATTGGTGTAGCAACTGCAGCCCTAATGGTTCCAGTAGTTTTTCTGATTGTCATAGACCTGACACGGGACAACATAAAGGAACTTCATATCTGCAAGAGTTTTTGCACGATCAAGGAAAGCTTTTTGATCCTCTGCATCAGATGCCCTGTCACAGTAGACACTAAAAATATTGGTTGCGAAAGAGATAGCAAACAGCATTAAAAATTCTGCTAATTCAGTTCAAGATGTATCCGTAGGTGAGTACGTGCTATTGATAACTGGTTCCAAAGCACAAAACTCTTTCGTTATTCACACAAATTTAGACGTTTGATCAGAAATTACGTCCCAGAAAAACTGCCACAAGTAAATGCAAGAGACTGAAACTATGACATGATAATAATTTCAAATCATTCATTTAGTTTTCCAATAAACTGATTCGATTACTAATGCATCAACACACATTCCCTAGTAGATTAGAGGTTCACCTGAAAGAGAACGTGTGAGGTTTACATGGAATATTAGGCGTACATGAGTCACAAAAGAAACAGGAAAATTACACAGAAGACCATGAAAGGATTAGCCAGATCCATGACCAGAAGAAGATGGTAAAAGAAGCAAATCCCTCCATTCATGAATTGCCAAACGTTTCAAAGATCAGATCCATGACCAGAAGAAGATGGAAATTTTTTAAGATGCGTAGGACCAAGGAAAAATCTGGAAACGAAGAGACGTTATTACCACATGTTTTCTTCTAACGCCATGTTTTGATGATGGTGTGAGAGTGCAGCTGAAAGTAACGAGTATCGTCGACTCACAACTAACATTACATAAGATACCTCCATTAACTCACTAACAATACCTAAGGCCTTGCACAAACAAAATCAATTGATAGAGATATAACAAATAGCATTAAAAACTCTGTTAATCCACTTCAAGATGTACCAATAGTCGTGGTATGCTATTGAAAAATGGTTCAAAAGCACAAACCTTTTTTCCCCAACAACTTCCTGGAAATGTTGAAGCTTCAAAGGTTGTCTGTACTACATCATCGACCTAATTGGCACAAGAGACTGCGCAGATTTACAAAGTCATACTTAAACATCATCCATTCTTATCTATGGTGGGGCACTAGTCTATTCCATCGTTAAGAGAGAAACCCAAGCAAAAGCTCTTACTTTTTAAAGCTCCAATTTATGATCATTTGTGTGATCCAAAAAGTTGTAACAACTCCCTGGTAACATTGAAGCTTCGGTGACCGTCTCCCACATGACAAAGTAAAACGTCAGATTACCTTTTCAAAAGCGTTTCTTCGCTAGAGAAATACACAGCCATAGACCTTGAGGGAGGTTCTTTAACCAGTTTCCTCACTCTCGTCTACATATAAAACCATTAGTTATGGGTACTTACATAATATGACACAACTAAAACAAATAGATTATAAACTTTAATACAGAACAAATATATAAGAAACTTAACATTACTTCAGCATACGGTGTAGCAACTGCACTCCTAATAGGTGCCTAGAACTTTTCTGATTGTCATGTACCTAACACGGGATAACACAATGGAACTCCAAATCTGCTCGAGTTTTTGCACCATCAAGGAAAGCTTTTTAATCTTCTACATCAGATGCCCTGTCACAGTAGACACTAAAAATATTGGTTGCGAAAGAGATAGCAAATAGCATTAAATATTCTGCTAATTCAGTTCAAGATTTATCAGTAAGTGAGTATGTGCTATTGATAACTGGTTACAAAGAACACTACCCTTTCCCCTGTAACTTCCTATTAAAATTGAAGCTCTAAAACTTGTTTGTAGAACATCTCCAAGAAAAATTGGCACATGTAAATGCAAGAGACTCTCCACAGACGAAGATATATTTTTCGTAGATGAACAAAAAAGAAATATAAAGGTCCGACAAACATATAGAACTTACCAGGATATACAGTTTGTAGATAGACAAAACAGATATCCCATTTTCATTTTCCTTTTTAAAGCCTTTTTCGTAATAAAGAACATCAACTCTGTAGTAAATTGTCATACCAAAAAAAAAACTCTGCCGTAAATTGTCAAAACAGTCTACATCGACCAATACCAATGTCTACTAGAGATAAAGAATTAGATGAATGAATCACAGTGATGCAATCATGTTACTGGTTTCCACCAAATTCTAAAGGGAACATCACTCAGACTGAAGTAATCGATGATGCTTACTCGATGCTGACCATGGGCAACAATCAATCAGACTTAACCAAATTATGATTTTTGATTAACAACAGTGACTACCTTATCTTATTCACCCAAATTCAGACGTTTGATCAGAAATTACGACATGGTAATAATATCAAAATAGTGAATTGAGAGCAACGGTAATGACTTAAATTTCCATGGCTTCTTCATCCCTAATCCTTCACTTAGTTTTCCAATATATTGGATTTGGTTACTCGTGAATCAACACATATTCTCCAAAAGATTAGAGATTAACCTGAAGGACGAGGGCGTGTAAGGTTCGCTTGAAGGCATACTCACAAACAGAAATTTCAAAGATTATGATACGGCGGCAAGCATTGCAATAAGAAAAGTCCCTAGAAGAAGAGAGATTCACCTGAAGGAACTCATTCCACGCCTTAGAAAAGTGTGCGATAAGTTTCTGCGCCATAATGTCGACCGACAATTCGTAAAAGCAATTCTCGGAGCCACATAACAGAAAACAAATATGTAATTAAACTTGTTATAAATAAATCAAATATTTCGTATTCAATATTTCAATTTGTAATTCGTTTTTGGAAATTTTTTAAGATTTATAGGAGCAAGGAAAAAGCATGAAAACCAGAACTAATATTACCCCATGGTTTCTTCTAACACCATAACATGATGATGAAGTGAGAGTGCAGCTGAAAGAAAATTAACATCAAAGAAGATACTTCCATTAACCAACCAATAAAAATAGCATTAAAAATTCTGCTAATCCCCCTTTAAGATATAACAATAATTGGGCATTGGCTGTAAATAAATGTTTCAACGACACGAACCTTTTTTCCGTGGCAACTTACTGGCAACGCTGAAACTTCAAAGGTTGTATCTACTACAACATCCACCAAATTGGCACAAGACTTAAAAATCATACTTAAAAATCACTGTTTCTTATCTATAATCAGGCATATCAAAGCAAAAGCTCTTACTTCACAAAACTCAAATTCAGGATAGCTAGGGTGGCCACAAACAACCAATAAGACTAGAACAAGTTATGATTTGATTGGCCACAAGGAGTGGCTACTTATCTAATCCACACATTCAAATGTATGCTCAAAAACTACGACATGATAATAATTTCAAATCATTCATTTAGTTTTCCAATAAACTGATTCGGTTACTAATGCATCAACACACATTCCCTACTAGATTAGAGAATAACCTGAAAGAGAACGTGTGAGATTCACATGGAATATTAGACGTACCTGAGTCACAAAAGAAACAGGAAAATTACACAGAAGACCACGAAAGGATTAGGCAGATCCATGACCGGAAGAAGATAAAAGCAGCAAACCCCTCTATTCATGAATTGCCGAAACTGTCAAAGATCAGATCCATGACCAAAAGTAATAACAACAACAACAACAACATCGCCTTCGCTATTATCACATGTTTTATTCTAACACCATGTTTTGATGATGGTGTGAGAGTGCAGCTGAAAGTAACGAGTATCGTTGACTCAACTAACATTACAGAAGATACCTCCATTAACTCAACCAAAGTATCTAAGGCCTTATAGGAACAAAATCGACTGACAGAGATATAGTAAATAGCATTAAAACTCCGTTAATCCACTTCAAGATGTACCAATAGATCGAGGTATGCAATTGACAAACGATTCAAAAGTACAAACCTTTTTTCCCCTGCAACTTCCTAGCAATGTTGAAGCTTCGAAGGTTGTCTAAACTACATCACCCACCTAATTGGCCAAAGAAACTGCGCAGATTAAAAAAATCATATTTAAAACCATCCATTCTTATCTACAATCAGACATATCAAAGCAAAAACTCATACTTCATAAAACTCAAATCAGCACAGCTTATTTTTTCAAAAATGTTCTGACAACTCCCTAGTAACATTAAAGCTTCGGTGACCGTCTTCCACATGATACAAAGAAAAAGTCAGATTACCTTTTCAAAACTGTTGTCTCCTAAGAAAAGTACGCACCGTAGGCTTTTGTTGCAAGTTCCCTCGGCGGTTTCCTCCCTCTTATCTTCGTGAGAAACTATTAGTTATGGGTATTTACTTAATTTGACACAACTAAAGAACACCGATGTAAACTTTAAATGATAACAAATATATAAAAACTTATTATTTTAGCATGAGCTGTGGAGTTTTGATGTAGCATCTGCAGCCCAAATGGTTCAAAAAGTTTTTCTGAATGCCATAGGCCTGACACGGGACAGCATAACGGAACTTCATATCTGCAGGAGTTCTTGTGAGATCAAGGAAAGCTTAGTGATCCGCTGCATCAGATGCCCTGAGACAGTAGACACTAAAAATATTGGTTGCGAAAAAGATAGCAAAGAACATTAAAAATTCTGCCAATTCAGTTCAAGAGGTATCAGTAGGTGAGTATGTGCCATTGATAACCGGTTCCAAAGCTCAAAACTCTTGTCGACAGTT